GTTTGTGCTAGTTTCCCCTGTATTGTGTACTGTCTCACCCTTCACCCAAGATACCATTTATCTATTTCCTATATAGTATTTCCCCCCAACCCCTCCCATCCCTGGTAACCAACAAAAATTGTTACATTTTGTGTGTGAACTTTTTCATGGGTTTTTACAATAGAGGTCTGATACAATATTGTCCTTTTGTGATTGACTTATTTCACTCAGCATAATGTCCTACAGTTTCATCCATGTTATGAGATGCTTCACAGAATCATTGTTGTTCTTCCAAGTTGCATAGTACTCCATTGTGTGTATGAACCATAGTTTGTTTATCCATTCATCTGTTGATGGGCATCTAGGTTGCTTCCATCTTTTTGGTATTGTGAACAATGCTGCCATGAACATAGGTGTACATATGCCTATTCGAGTGACGACTCTTATTTCTCTAGGATATACTCCTAGGAGTGGAATTGCTGGATTGAATGGTATGCCTATTTCTAGCTTTCTGAGGAAGCGCCATATCATTTTCCAAAATGGTTGTATCACTTTGCATTCCCACCAGCAGTGCGTAAGAGTTCCCATCTCCCCGCAGCCCCTACAACATTTGTTATTTCCAGTGTTTTTGATTAATGCCAGTAATGCCGAGGTGAGATGGTATCTCATTGTGGTCTTAATTTGCATTTCTCTAATGGCTAGTGATCGCGAGCACTTCCTCATGTGTCTGTGGCCATTTGAATGTCTTCTTTGGTGAAGTGTCTGTTCATTTCCTTTGCTCATTTTTTAATAGAATTATTTGTCTTTTTGTTGTAGAGGTGTTGGATTTTCTTATAGATTATGGAGATTAGACCTTTGTCTGACTTATACTGTCCAAAATTTTTTTCCCAGTCTATATGTTCTCTTTTTACTCTATTGGTGAAGTCTTTTGAAGAGCATAGGTGTTTGATTCTTAGAAGATCCCAGTCATCTAGCTTATCTATTGGGGTTTGAGCATTGATGGTTATGGTTTGTATCCTGTTAATGCCATGTTTTAAGGCCTGAAGTGTTGGTCCTATTTTCTCTTCTATGAACTTTATAGTTTTAGGCTTTATATTCAGGTCTTTGTAGTTTTTGTATACGGCATGAGGTATGGGTCCTGTTTCATTTTTTTGCAGATGGATATCCAGTTT